CCCTACAGCCACAACAATGCACCCAGACACACCAACAACCAGGAAGATGGTGCCGGGTCAGGCAGTGCTTCCTTCTTCCACACACAAGGTCGCCATGAGTCAGAGCCAACTCAACAGTAACCAACAGCAGCAACAGCTGTTCCAAAGTGCCTCCACCTCCATCTTAAAGGCTGCACATCTGTGGGCTTAAAGCAGGACCCACTCTCAGAGGTAAATTAGAGTCCCAGGCAGGAAAGACAGGCAGTTCTAATAAGAAGTCACGTGCCACAGCTGGGAGTGTCATGGAGCCATGGGACCCATTCAATTCAAGTGGTGACTCGGATGCCAAGGGCTCAAATAGGCCTATCAGATCCTGTAATGGGGAAGAAGTTGCTATAGAAGAAAATAAAATTCCTGGCATCTTCTGACAACCCCCACCCCCAACAAACTCTAGGACGGTAAGCCAACTCCAATGCAACAAACCCTGTACCCCTCACAGCCACCCAACTCTGGTCCTGGAGACCTCCCAGGCCCACTTCAGACACACATCCACAGTGCCACCAAGGCTCCCCTTTGTGTGGGCTTGCACTCTTTCAATCTCGTACAAAACCCATCCCTTACTCTTTTTCTCATAAAGATAGAATGGGCATTAAACATATTAATGCTATTGTTTTAAAATGCAATGATTGTAAAAGATTTTTATGGAATATGCTTAACAGTAGGAAGCACCTGGCTCAAAGAAAACACCCTATTCCTTTTTATCACTGGGGATCTGGCTTGTTAACTACTAATATGCATCAAGAGTACCTGGGAACTTTCTCTTGGAGCTTTCATTTTAATTCCAAGAGCTGTATGTGAACAAGCATGCTGATTTAGGGCAGTGAGAAATGCCAAACACTTCTGTACAGAATGTTATCCTTATCCTCATTAATGGTACATCCAAGAATGGGAGTTACCCCTGTCAGTTACTCAGCTAAAATAATTTCTCCACAGAGAGGTGCTTGATGTTAACATCAAGCTCTGTGGGCATGAGAAAACATTGCTGAACAGGCACTTGCAACACAAGGGCTCAGTTGTGGTTTAAAAAAATAAACAATAGGAAAATACAGACAGCCGACATATTCCACTTTCAGCAATGCGGAGACTATCTTTCAACATAGAGGTCAGAAAACTCAAAGTGACTGTCAGCTGTGGACGTAATCTGCTGTATAATTAGACGCAGGCAAGCACACCAATATGTTTATACTTACACACACCTATAAACATGTTCTTTTGGTTGTGGATGATAATTTGTTTACTGCTTCATCCTTCTGCCCATATAGACAAGTAGAGGCAGTCCCTGGTTATACACAAGATCCATTCACTCCCGCGTCTTCAACTGGAATTTGTAGCTAAGTTCAGACACATGCATATGGTTCTTATTTAATTCATGGAAAGGCTGGAAGTCTTTGCTATGATTTAAAAGCTGCACGTGCAGCAAGGGAAGGTGACTGTGATGAAGAATTTGTTGCAAGTTGGGGTTGGTTCAATCATTTCAAAGGGAGGGCAAATTTACATAACATTAAAGGGCAAATATGAGTTGTCTGTAAGTTGGACATTCGTAACCCAGGGAACACCTGTGTATCAGATTGCATTAACCTATTTCCAGAGTTTCCCAGGTATAAGAAAACACTTTTATTTGGATTATACTGTATCCTCAGAAATAGGCTGAAGCCATGGCTTCTTTTTATTCTGTCTTTAAGATAATAAAGGGACTATCAAATGGGAGGCACACTAGTGTCTGCTTGGACTCTAAACTGATAATGACAAAAATTAGTGCATACTTAACTTGCCCATTAAAATTCAAGCTGTACTAAACTGTAACAATGGAAATACTGTATAAAGATAGAGATTTTTAATTCTGTTGTCTCTTCAGTATTCACAGTGATCGATTTTTATCTGTCTGTGTTGTTTACAGTTACATTTGGATGATATTCCCCTGAGCGATGAAATCTTTCAGGTTCAAGTTGAGATGCATCCTCCCAGAGAAAAGGAAGTAAATCATTTGTTTTTGAAAATGCTTTGACTGAAACAACCCTCGGGAGGATCTTTTAATGAGAAAGAAGTCATTTACTCAATGGTACTCAAGAAGCAAAATTAAACTCACATACCTCCAAAAAGTAACTTTTTCTTTCTCCAGATTGGAAGGATCAGAATTATTATTTTTAAGGGTGGCCTTTTCCTAATCTGTTTTACCCCACTGCTGGGACCTGGTCATTCTCAGTTATCTATAAGTGGCATTTCTCAACCAGAGATGGAGAACAATGGATTGGTGAACTCAATCCCTTGTTTCCTGCCTGTCCATTCTTTGGCTCTAAGTTCTCCAGACTCCACAGGAAAAGGCCACTCAACCTTGTGTCCCTTGGATACTCGGACCTTTCCTTCCTTGCTTGCTGACCCATTATCTGCTGGCGTGGCTGAACACCCTTCTCCTCCAGTCCCAACTAATACTTAATGAGGAATGAGTAACATTTGTTAGAGATATGCCACGCCATCTTGCGTGGCTCTTCCGGGTTCTTCTTCATTCCCTGCGGCCCCACCCAAGGTCATAAGTCAGTTAAAGGAAGTAGAAATTGAGCTTCCTGCAAGGCGCGAATTTTAAAAGGCAACATAGCCTCTGATAGGTTAAGACCTCTTCCCCCAGCTCTGATGTACAACCTCCTAACCCCAGGTCTATATAAGACCTCTCTCTCCCCTGCTCTTCCTCTTCCTCTTCTTCCTCTCTCCACTTCTTCTATTTTTCCTCTTTCTTTCTTCTTCTCTTCTTCCTCTTCTCCTCTTCTTCTCCTGTCCTTCCTCAGTGCAGGTGCCCTTTCGCCTCCTTAATAAAATCTCCTGTTGGGTACCCTGGTGTGTGGCGTGGTCGTTGAGTGCCGACGGAGCTCTAACAACATTCCTAATGAGGAATGTTTCAACATGGAAATAATATATAGCCTTTAATAAATCACTCAAGATCTGACATTCCTTTGTGAACACTCGATGTAATTAATAGGGAAAAAAAAAAGAAAGAAAAGATAGAGAAAAAAGAAAAAAAAATGTAATCAAGTAGGTTGACAACCAGCAAAAGATAATTAAAATGGTACTGTTTTGTTTCTTAGTTTCATTAACATGCAAATGAGATTCATGAGGGTTGATACTGTGTTTCACCAAGAGCCATAGAAATGAATTAAGAATGAAAACGACACTCACTGATGCAGACTCCTGACGGGTATGTAAATTAATGAAAAATATGATTTGGCCCAATTAATAACATATACTTTTAGTGATTTATTGAACCTCAGAAGATGAAATAAAGACAAATAGGGAATTAAATACTTTATCTCTTTCCATGGGTCACATTCTATGAGAACTGTCACTACTTAAGTGGAGTGGACGTCAATGCTGTTTTATTTTTTAGAAGGAGGACAGGGCGGAGACTTCTTTCTAAGACCAGTGTTGTGACAGACAGTTGTTCTGGTGGGAGGCCAATGGACTGGGCTCTGGATCGGGACGGCCCTGAGATGGGCGCTGCTGTTGTTGGTTGCTCTGGAGTTGGCTCTGACTCTGACAACCCCACGTGCAACTGCCCCACAGAGTATTCAAGGCTGGGAGCTTTTGGAAGCAAGTTACCAGGCCTGCCTTCCAGTGCCTCTGGGTGCATTCAAACCGCCAACCTTTTGTTAATAGACACACACATAACTGTTGGCAACACTCGGGGACTCCTTTCAGAGGGGCAAAGCCTGTGGTCAGTCAAGGCCTCGAGTTTGCAAGTAGATAGGGACAGTCCAGTGTGACCAGTTACAACTCTCACTATAAGGCCATTAAAAGTTAACAGACAAACATTGTCTACACAGATATGTTCCAGGCCTCCATATTATACAACAATCTCAGTTCCTACTGTCCATTGATACCAATACTCAGAATACAAATAAGTGATTTATCTCAAACAATATGAGATGAAATTTTAAAGTAAGTTTAAAATCATGTTAAACTATTATCTGAGTATCTGTCTGGTAATCAGCACTGTGTGTGACATGTAGACTCTCTACCCAACAGATCCACATACACAATGGTGATCGGCTAAGTTCTGTGCTCAGGGTGCTCAAACAGGAAACAAGAACCCTAAGGATGGTACCAAGGAGTAAAATGAAAAAGAGGAGATGAATGACACGGAAGGAGGGAAAATGCTAAGAAACAGATAAGGCCCACGTCTAACAATACATGGGTACTGGTGACATTTCTTATGGTTGTTAGAATATTTTCTGTGGTAGTACTGCCAGCAATCTTCCAAGAATGTATGTGGAGATCATTTTTGCTTTAGCATATAATGAAAGGGACTCAGTTTCTGAATGTACAATGTTCTGTTTCTAAGGCTGTTGATGTTGTAAGATTCTCTCTTATTTCTACAGTAACTTGCCATTTAATTTTTTGCAGTTTAGTTTAAACATATTCATGAGATCAAAAACAACCTACCTGAGATAGAGTGAAAAACATAAACTGAGTATTCCTTTAGGAACAGGAAAGCTTTAGTCAACTTCCATTTCTCAACAGGAGAGAAGACCATGTCAGTCACAGTGAGAGTGAAACAACCTGAAGGATTATTCATTTTAAATAACCAGAATCGTTTAAAGTTACTTATTCTGGCAAACTCCCTTGTTTAACTTGAAGTGGAGAGCTAATGAAATATTTGGGACTAATGTATCGATAATGAGTATATACTTGCTGTAGAAAAGCTTATTGTGTGAGACACACAAAAAGCTTGCCAGACTGACGAAACTCAATAGTTAAGAAGCTGAAATGATGATGTAAGATTTTCACACAAGATGCATCCCCTTGCCATTCCAGAACGGATGCAGATCAAAGACATCCAAGAGTTTCTATCAATGGCTTACGCAGAATTTTACTTCCTTTTGAAACATATTGCTCATAATGGTTTTGTTAAATTAAAATGGAAAATTAATGACGTTCACCATGGACCAACTAGAAGAGGAAAGCAGGCTTACCATCTCTTCGATTTAGCCTTGCAAATCCAGGACCATGGCTGCTAGAGAGCTCAGAAGAGCTGCTGAATGATGTCTGAGGCAAGGGAGGCACCAGAGGGTCGTCACAATCATCTGCCAGGGAAGAAAATGCCACATGCAGATTAGGCCACTGCTGATAGCTTTCTTGGAGTCAACAGACACAACAAGCAAACACACAAAAAGGATCTAGAATCTCTAGCAGTGCGTCAGCTGGTTCTACAGTGTGTTAGCATTCCACCGGAAGCTCTGCTGGAACACACAAGGTTTCCTGAAGAGTACAACCGAATGCTCCCTGGAAGAGAGGGCGGCAAAACTCTGTCTTGTTTACCGTGAACACATCATCAGGAAGGACCCATCACTGAAAAAGGACATGGTGTTAGGTAAAATAGACAGCATCAGCAAAAACTACAGAAACCCTTATGAGATGGATTAACACAAGAGCCACAAGAATAGGTTTAAATATATCAAAGGTCAGGAAGATAACACAGAATGGGGACAGTACATAGGATGAAGGGATGGTAATGTTCTCATTCTTGGTACAGGTGTCACACTCACAGGTTTTTATTTTTATACTATATGTATAAATGTGTGTGTATGTGTGTGTGTGTGTATATATATATATATATATACATGCACACACAATGTATTTACAAACACAGACACATACATATATGTACAAATATAGATACGTATATACATATATACATACATACATATATATATATATATATATACACATACATATATATATATATATTTATAGTTGTTGTTATGTGCCGTCAAGTTGGATCTGACTCATAGCGACCCCTCCTTGGGTTCCCAAGGTGGTACCACTACAGAAGTAGATTGCCCAACCTTCCTTCTGAGGAGTGGCTGATGGTATATACCACCTTAGTGCCTAAGGCATTCAACCGCTAACCAGAAGGTTGGCAGTTCAAACTTACCAGCCACTCCTCGGAAGGAAGACTGGGCAATCTACTTCAGTAGAGATACCACCTTGGAAACCCAAGGAGCAGTCACTAGGAGTCAGAATCAACTAGACAGCAGTGAGTTTGGTTGGTTATACATGTACACACATATATACATATGTATATGTATATGTGAAAATATTGATATGTGTATATTCTTGGCTAATAGCGAAGAATACTAGAAAGATGTTACCTGTGTCTTATTAACTATTCAAAGGCATTTGACTGTGTGGATCATAATAAATTATGGATAACATTGCAAAGAATGGAAGTCCAGACCATTGAACTGGACTCATTAGAAACCTGTACATAAATGAATTGGCTGTCATTCAGACAGAACGAGGGGATATTGTATGGCTGAAAATCAGCAAGGGTGTGCATCAGGGTTGTATCCTTTCACCATACTTATTCAACCTGTATGCTGAGCAAATAATCCAAGAAGCTGGACTATAGGAAGAAGAACATGGCATCAGGATGGGAGGAAGACTCATTAACCTGCGATATGCAGGTGACACAACCTTGCTTGCTGAAAATGAAGATGACAAAGCAATTAGTGATGAATATCAAAGACTACAGTCTTCAGTATGGATTACACCTCAACATTAAAAAAAAAAAATCCTCACAACTGAACCATAAGCAAGATCTTCATAAATGGAGAAAGGGTGGAAGTTGTCAGGGATTTCATTTTAATTGGACCTACAATCAACACCCGTGGAAGCAGCAGTCAAGACATCAGACATCGCAGTGCACTGGGCAAATCTGCTGATAAGACCTCTTTAAAATGTTAAGAAGCAAAGATATCACTTTGAAGACTAAGGTGCATCTAACTCAAGCCATGTTATTTTCATTCACCTCATATGCATGTGAAAGCTGGACAATGAATAAAGAAGACCAAAGAAGAGTTGATGCCTTTATTATGGTGTTGGTGAAGAATCGTGAAAATACCACAGCCTGCCAGAAGATCTAACACATCTGTCCTGGAAGAAGTGCAGCTGGAATGCTCTTTGGAAGTGAGAATGGCCAGACTTTGTCTCACCTACCTTGGTCATGTGATCAGAAGGGGCCATTCCCTAGAGGAGGATGTCATGCTTAGTAAAGCAGAGAGCCAGTGAGAATGGGGAAGACCCTCAAAAAGATGAATTGACACAGTGGCTGCAACGATGGGCTCAGGTGTATCAAGGATTGTGAGGCTGGCATAGGACTGGACAGGGTTTCGTTCTGTTGTACACAGGGCTGCTCTGAGTTGGAGTTGGCTCCACAGCACCAAACAACAACATATATAAGGGTACATATGTATATCCTTTTTGTGCATATCACACACATTATTTTTAAAAATAAAGACTAATGAGGAAAGAAGGATAGTATAATAATTCTCTCGTGTTCACCACAAGGTGCACACATGCTTAACTTATTTAGCTAATCTTTGTAATCTTTACACTGTCTTTTATTCTATACAGTGAAGTTGTTCCCAATTTTGCTTTAATCTGAACACTATTTCTCTCACAGTATTTAACATACACTGGTTAGTAAATAGCATGCAGGTTCATTGTTCCAAATGTCTTAAATGAATAATTTAACTTAAATAAAACTAGGAAGTATCTAAATTCATCTAGAATTTTATGAAACTCATTCAGACTAAACACCATTTGCTCTTGAAGGCCCTTCACAAGAATTCCATTATCACAGCATTTTATCTTTTAAGACTGCCTCATTTTCATTTAAAATTTGCCTTTCCTTTTTTTTTACACCTTAAATCCTTCTGCTAACTGTTAAGACAGACTGGATATCGGGCCCGCAGTTCCTTCACGTCTATTGATCGGCCTATGGACTGACACCAACCATTCTAGCTTTAACTACAGTATTAAGAAGCACAGACTAAAAAGACATGCAGTCCATGGAGTAGAGAAGAATTCTGACTATGCCTAATTACATGCAACAACCACAATGCTACAATCTTTACACTCCAGGGAAACCATGGTTTGTGTGTTTGCACATAAAAATAAATGTATCATATACGTGCACGTGCAAGAGGTGGGTGCAGGGGTGGGTGTGTGCACAGTGATTTTTGACCCATGATCAGTACACAGTTCTAAGTGACAACAAAAAAAAAGGATGTTTAACTGCAATGCACAATCAATTATGCAAGCAGATTCCAATCAATATTTTGGATGTAAAAATGCCGCTCTGGTGTAATCATTCTGGAGGGCATATGTTTACTGCTCACTGGTTTCTGCCGACTGTAAACTGAGAATCAATATCATTCTGCTTTTCGCTTAAAAAGAATGGAATTTAAATAAGAGAAGGGGTACTGATTCCATTTAAGGGGAGAGAGACAGGTTATCTGGAAAACAGGATCAGAGAGGCCGGATAGCGGGCTTCTGGTGTTGGGTGAAGCTATCATTCTTGGCCTAAGTAGTGGTTGCATGGCATTACTATTCTTTACCGTGAGCATATACAGTTCCCCACGATCTGTCAAACATCTATTTAGCAGTAAATAGTTTTAAAGCTTTTCTTATGTAAAATTAATATCTAACACTCACACAGTGAGTATGCAGCTAAGAACGTAATTTCACATACAGTAAGGAATTTCATCTGTATTCCTCCTCGAGGTACTAGTATTATTACTATTTTACAGATGAGCTAAGTGAGGCACAGAGTTTGATTCTTTTTCTCTCTCTGCTAGTAAATGGCAAGGAGCCCTGGTGGCACAATGGCTAAGTGCTCAGCTGCTAACTGAAAGGTTGGCGGTTCAAACCCACCAGCTACTCAGAAGGAGAAAGATGTGGCAGTCAACTTCCATAAAGATTTACAGCCTTGTAAACCCTATGATGTAGCTCCACTGTGTCCTACAGGGTCACTAGGAATCAGAACTGACTCAGGAGTAGTGGTTTTCAAGGGTAAGACATTCAAAAGGAGGCCTGGTGGTACAAATGTTTATGACTCAGATGCTACCTGAAAGCTTTGGGAGAAGGAGCTGGCAGTCTGCTTCCATAAAGATTACGGCTCCAAAAACTGTACTGGGGTGGGGTGGGGCAGTTCTACTCTGTCACTTAGAGTCGCCCTGAGTCAGCACCAAGATATTTACCAAGTGAGGTGGGTCCAGGGTCCAGTATAAAAGAACATGGTGATGATGCTGTTTCTTTAGCTTTATTGTTGCTGTTGTCATCTGCCTGCCCTTGAGGCAATTCCAAGTAATGGCATCCCTACGTGTGCCAAGGGGCTCTCCACAGGGTTTTCTGGGCTGTGCCTTTTAGCAGGTAGATTGCCACACCTGTTCTCTGACGTGCCTTTGGGCAGGTTCGAACTGCCAACCTTCCAGCCAGTAGTCAAGCACTTACCTGTCTGGAGTGGGGGAATTTCATAGACAACATCATGGCACAAAAGAAACCCTTAAGAAACCACATAAACCAACTCCGGGTTTACCAAGCTATTTGTTTCTTAGTGATTTAATTTTCAGTAGTCTTGACATCAGAAAAAGGGGGTCCTCGAAGAGTGATAATGAGGCTAGAGAGTGAGTAAAGGGGTATTTCCCTCTACACGTTGACGAAAGACAATTCCAGATGTGGTACCAGTCCCTGTGATTTTATTTCCTGACTGGTCACTGAGAGTTTTTCTAACTGCACCAGAAAGTACAGATCTGGGCTGTTCAGGACTGGATTCTAGCTCAATGGTCCTCAACCAGGTGTGGCCCATATGGGACACTTAGCATTGTCTGCAAAAATTTTGGTTGACGTAATTTGAGGTGTTACTGGCACCTAATAGTACTTAGAGACCAGTAATGATTCTGCTAAACACCTTAACAACACACAGAAAGATCTCAACAACAAACAATTATCTGGCCCTGAGTGACAACAGTGCTACAGGTTGAGAAACACTGTTGTAGACTATGGTGAAAGCAACCCAGTGAACTATCCCTTTCTTGGAGTCATCTCTCTGCTAGAACCCTTAGGCTTCCTCTGAAGTGTTAATGCTCAGAGCGCATGTATCATCGTTCAGAATGCCTCAATACATAGGCTTTTAAGGAAGCAAGTTTTCAAATTTTAAACAACATGCCAAAAATAGATTACACTTTATAGGACTTCTTCATTATTGTATTAGAATTTGCACATTAACCTTGATATACAG